ACGATGCCAACCGTTGCTCTATTCTCGCCAATGTTATCTTAAGTTTTAAAAGGTGATGTTCCGCCTCCAACTTCATCGCTTTTGAGTTTTTTCCATATTTGTTTGCTATAGTTTCTGGCAATTTTGTTGCCGGTACGTAGTGCTGTATTTTTAGCTGCAAATAATGAATAAAATAATTGAATATTCTACTACAACCGAATGTCAATTTTTATTAAACCATCTTTTCTGTAAAATTGGATGAGTATTGATGTTTTCGAATTTTTTTTCATTGTTTAGAGAGAGGAACAGCTGCCGGATGAGTATTGATGTTTTGATGAGTGGGTGAGTATTGATGTTTTTAATTTTTTTTATTGTTCAGAGAGAGGAACAGCTGCCGGATGAGTATAGATGTTTTGATGAGAGGGTGAGTATTGATGTTTTTGAATTTTTTTATTGCTTAGAGAGCGGAACAGCTGCCAGATGAGTATTGATGTTTTGATGAATGGGTGAGTATTGATGTTTTTGAATTTTTTTTCTATTGCTTAGAGAGAGAAACAGCTGCCGGATTTTGCGGGACTGTCGCAAAATCTTTCAGCAGCACCTCTCTCTAAACAATAACATATTTATTTACTTACTGTCCACCATGTTTACATCCAAATTCTTACGTATATTTATGAAAAACTATTATTTTAATATTTTTGGTCTATTAAAATCCATCCGTCTGAGTGAGTTTTTGAATAATTATTATTAACAATTAATATTAGCAAATCAATATTAGCAAATTAATATTAATAAATAAAACGGAATTAATATTAGCAAATGTGTTATTATGGGATATTAATAAAGTATGAAACCACAATCCAACAGTAAGACATTTATTTCTTCAGAATTAATTTTCAAACAAAAGAACATTGTTTTTTAAATACTTAATTTTTAATATTACAAATGTTAAGTATAAAAAATTCATTTAAAATATTCACAAAGCTCATATTCATATGTTACCAAAAATCTTTTGTAACATTATGATTCATTGAAAACACATGTTTCTAACTCAATCACACAGAGTTATTTTTGTCTAACCTCAATGTTCTTTCTTAAAAAATATTTTTTTGACTAAAAAGTATTAGGTTGTTCGGAAAGTATCTTTTTTTAAATGAAAATGAAAGATTTTTTTTTCCTTCAGTGAAAAAAAAAATTATTGATTCATATAACGTCCATTCTGGTCAAATATCTTCCGCAATCTTTCTGATATAAGCATTTTTCTATGTAGTATAAAATTTTTGTTCTTTGATCGAAGGGACTTCTGACCTTTTTGTTTGAAGTAACGCTTTTGTCAGACTATGTATTTCAATGAACAAGGTTCGAGTAAGAGTCAGAGATCACGAGTTCGAAAAACCTCTGAAAGAGGGAGTTCGAACATTTAAAAATAATTCAAAGACAGAATTTGCATAGTATTAATTTTGAGTGTGTAAGTACCCTCATTATGCAAGTGTTNACAGAATTTGCATAGTATTAATTTTGAATGTGTAAGTACCCTCATTATGCAAGTGTTATTTTGTATATATATAACAAATCAAGATTGGATTTGGAGTTTTTGTTTCGTTTGATTTTCATGACTGTATGTATTGAATACGTTACCTCATGTTATGGAGAGGATTGTTTTCCTTTATGATGTTTAAGTTAAGTTATGATTTTTCTTGCTAATAAAATTTATGATTAGTTAAAAGATGACTTTTTCATTATGCTTGCTGGGCATTTTCCACAACGCACTAAACTCTGCCAGCAGCTTTAACCGTCTAAAAAATTGTAGAGATTGTAAAATTACTATAGACAACCCATTTCTGGTGTCCAGTGAAGATGCGCTTCAAAAATAGATAATTTTCTTGACGTTTAAAAAGCAATTCACAAACGTCAATATGAATTTTTTTCTGTTTGAGAATGAGAAACACATGAGTCGAGATTTGAGATTACACCATTAGATTTTATCAACTGACCATGAATGGTCAAATTTGATATATTTAATGTTTCAGAGATCTCTCAAATTTTTTTTACAGGTTTGCATCATTAAATAGTACCTTCATTGTGTCTTCATGAGCCAACTTCATACTTATGCCACATAGTATATATATATATATATATATAAAAAAAAAAGAAGAGAGTGGAATGATAACTCATAGCCAATCACAGAAGACTCCTGGTTAGTTACGCACAAAACAGCCAATTAAAATTGAGAACGCATGCGTGTGTAAAGGTAATAATTTTTAATAATGCCGTCTGCAGAAATGTTACAACTAAACTTACCAGCTAAATCTTGTTGCGATTTTTATTTTGTGTTGAATGCGTGAAATATATTGAATAGAGTTTACTTTAAAATACTTATCTTTTATAAAAAATGGATCACCGTGAATATCTTAGGAGATATCAACAGCGACATAATTTAGCAGTACAAAATTACCGGGAAAATAATCGCAGTACTATCAATACGCGACAGCGAAATGCGCGGCGAAGAAACGTTGAAGAGTCAAGACGTTTAAATGAAAACGAATAATATGGAAAAGAAATTGATAAAAAATGTTGTATACAGGGTGTCTCAGTTAAGCGTTTCAGAACTTCTAAGAGGGGTAGGGGGCATCTTGACGACTTGAAATCATATAGCAATGTGGGGTCGGAAATGCTTTCCTGAAGCGGTGACGTACACAGAAGCACCATAAAGAAAAGAGACCGTAAGTGAAAAATCGCTATAATAATACATTGAAAAAATTATATGGTACATGGGCCAAAGTAAGTGCTCGAAGTTTATGCTACCGGCTACAATGTACACCTCACATCTCCGGCGCAGGGACATTCGAACATTCTGCAATACTCCAGGCATATACCTCGCAGGCAGCTACTGCGATTCTTGCAACCAGCATTATCAACAGGGGTGTCATAAACCAGTGTTTTCATATGACTCCAGAAATCAAGACATGATAGGTCGGGTGACCGAGGAGGCCATATAATTTTTTCAATGTATTATTATAGCGATTTTTCACTTACGGTCTCTTTTCTTTATGGTGCTTTTGTGTACGTCACCGCTTCAGGAAAGCATTTCCGACCCCACATTGCTATATGATTTCGAGTCGTCAGGATGCCCCCTACCCCTCTTAGAAGTATTGAAACGCTTAACTGAGACACCCTGTATAAGGAGGTTTTGTAAATAATTTTTACTTTTATCATTGTTTTTTCTTACTTTTAATTGTTTTTTACTTACTTCCAAAAAATCGCTCAGCCAGAAATATTAATTAACAGTTCATATTTGTTTGAGATATTTCCTAAATAATGCATAAAAGTGCAAATCATTGGTACGCAAAATTATGTGGAAAAAAAATCAATGAAAAATGTACATAGCTAGGTTTTGTGAATATTCAGAGATCTATAGTAAATAATTTTTAATTTCATTGTTTTCACCTTATTTTTTTATAACAATTCAGACAAAAATGTTTATTGATCAGTGATAACATAATTATTTCATTTTACATTTGTTTTTTTATTAGTATTCAATATGACAAAAAAATTAAATTGCTTAACTTAATTTGTCGAATTTCAGTTAAAAAAGTTTTTATTATATAATTTGCTTTTAGTCTGATTGAAACTAAAATATTTTGTCAGTTGACAGTATTGCAGTTAATTGGGCAATTACTTGCAATGGGTTTTGCTTTTGAAGTATTACGCAGCATCAACTTATTAATATTACATGTTTTAATTTGTTTGCCATATTTTAAAGTTTTTTTTCATTAGGTTTTAATTGTTTTCAGTTTAAATTTTAAATTACTCGGGGGGGGGGGGGGAGAGATGAAGCACCATATAGGGAGCGTCCGGCATCCTATAAGATCAACAATGATTTGAGTTAGTAGGGGTAAAAATATACTTGAAGTTGCCCCTTGGCGAAATTGGCGACTTACGTTTGGCGCCATTCCTGTTTGCGCGGAACACCGTGGTAACAGGAATGGCTATCAAAATATAATTATATTTCAATAAAACATTGGAAAATTTCAACAAAACATCGGCCAAAACTTTATAAAATTCAATGAACCCGATGTGAGCCAAATTAATAAACCCAAGAAAATGCATTTTGAATCGAAATAAAAATTAATGGAGTAGGCACAGACAGAAAAGGAAAAAAACAACTCACTTCTTCTTTAAGCTTGAATATCCTCAGATTTAGGTGCACCGAATTCTCTAATAGCAGTTAGATACTGTCTAAATTTATCATGAATAGAATCTGTGTACCTCCATCGCCACATAAATTCGGCGAAATACGAATCGAAAATGGCGTTTGTGGTACCGGACTGGCGATGACATTTTTTTCTAAAGTCCCTTTTTATGACTGCCCACATACCTTCGATCTGATTGACCGAAAGAAAAAGTAACGTTACCAGCCGGTATCCAACTTTGAACTAGCGGACCTCTGAAATCACATTACCGTTGAACATTTAAAAATAACGCTAAAATCTAAACCAATCAGAATCATGATTCGGTTTCAACATCGCCCAGCTTGGTGATCAACCGCGAATCAAGGGGCACCCTCAAATATAGTCTTCCCGATTTAGGCTCTACCACGTCTGCTTCGAATACGGAGATTAATCTCCGGCTAATGCCCTATAGTAATGTGTTAAATAATATTGCTTTCTCGCTTTACATAAGTTTATATTATTGTTTGTATTAAAATTGCATTATATAAGTTTATAATGCTGATAACAAGGACCTCTGACATATTGCAATCCTATCATATTCTCTCCATGTGATGTTATTGCAGAAAAATTGTCAGCTAATCTCCAAGAAAACGACTTTAATTTTGTTGTAACTGCGAAGCAGTTATCGGGGGTTGGCGAGCGGTAGCGAGCAGGGGGAGGAGCCCTCTAGTATATATATATTATANTATATATATAACGGCATAAGTATGAAGTTGGCGACGGTGAATAAAATATAATTATGCCATCTGATAAGAATTAATTAAATTGCTTTCCGAACAACTAAATAAGTAAACCAATAAATAATAACTTAAAAAAATAATGACTATTAATAATCATAATAATCTGTGAGAATAAATATTGAACTTCAAAGTCTCTGAAAATTGCTGCTTTTTAAAACAGCTGAATATACCTTGCACCATTTATTCGGTTATCGGTACAGGGCCACGTTTATCACAAATATCATAGGCCTTTACATTTCAAAACACATTGCACAAAACAGTCATGTTAAACATAAAAACACTTAGACACATAAGCACAAACATATTCGAATGACTTTATGATGAGTAATCATGATCATTACACTTCAGTATCTTTGAATATTTCCTCTTCGGAAACACAAGTGTCATACCTACACACGTGTTGCACCATTAATCTTGTAGAAGGCGTAGGACTACGATCGAATTTGCACTTTCCATTACCATGACCATTTTCATGATGTAATTTTGGAGACGTTCCCCGTACACTCAAATTCCTCACACTCGTATACGTAGAGTATGTATTGCAACGGTGCAAGTTCCTCTCTTCGCAGCATCGATTTCGCAAGCGCTTGCAAGCGAAGTAGCGAATAATTTGCAGAAAACCTTCCCTAAACTTCGAATTCATCCAGCAATATATTATGGGGTTATAAGAAGCATGACTCATCGCTAACCAATGGCAAACAAACCAAACGTATACGATGTTCTTGTATTGCCATATTCTCTCATCTTGGTCTCCAACCACTATTAGCATGTTCAGAGGCAGCCAACATAAAGTGAATACTGTGACGACTGTAATCATCATTTTCACCATCTGAAATATAATCAAGATGTTACAAATTTATATCTAAGATATTATGGATTCTTAAAAAGAAATGATATTTTTTTTTTGTAAATTTCATCGTCGGTTGATAAGGTATGTAAACGATTGATAGCGGTATGATAAGGTATGTTAATGGTTGATAATGGCATGATAAGTTTGAACGGTTGATAACGGTATGATAAGGTATTTTTATGCATATGATAAGGTATTGCATATGATAGGTATATGTAGCTACTGTAATCATCATTTTCACCATCTGAAATATAATAGAGATGTTACAAATTTATATCTAAGATATTATGGATTTTTAAAAAAGAAATGATAATTTTTTTTTCATCACCTGTTGATAACGATATGATAAGGTATTTTTATGCATATGATAAGGTATTGCACATGATTAGTATATGATATTTTTTTTAAACATATAATTTTCGAGTATTGCACTTTTTTCTTGCAAGCAATGCTATATATTCACGGAGGAATTTTCGGAAGTGTCTAAATATCTTTAGAAATTTATTTAAATAAGCAGTTAAATAAATTATTTTTAACGCAAATTTAAACGTAAATTTCAATTATCTAGATAGTGACAATACATTTTGACAGTCATTCTTTAAGATTTTGCCATTCAATCATTAAGATTTTGATATAAAGACGTTATTATTCTTCGTATATTTAATTTTTATAATTTTACGGAGGCATTATTATCTGAGTGAGAATAATTATTATTTATATTATCATTTATATGCTTTAATATTTTGCTTATGTATGTGAGAAAGCGTACACTTAAAAAAATTAATTGTAAAGACTCTCATGATATGGAAAAAGAAATACTATGTTTCTGGCTCCATGGGAAGAACAAAAACCTCGGTATTTTTCACCGAAGCGCTTTGATTAAAATTTTGGTAAAATTACAATTTGGTTTTATAATATGTAATAAAATTTGGTTAATGTGGTAAAATGTAGAAATTTTACCACGATAACATAACATAAAAACCATTTATTCGGTTAGACTAATTTTTTAGTATTATATTTTTTACTAAATATGTGCTTATAAAAACTATAATTTCAAAAACCCAGAGTTTTTATGAAGGGAAAATTCCCCAATGTATCGTTTAAATACCGTATATTTTGATTTTATCTGCAAAGTTATGTTTCTTTGTTTTTTTTATTAAAAATGTCATTATAATACATTACGGTAATTTTATCGGAATTCTTTTTCTGAATACGATTGACAAAAAGAGTAAATATTACATAAAATTTAGAAAAAGACGATATACATGTGAAATTATAAAAACAATCAAATCTCAGTTAGAAATACAGAATTTAATGAAAAATATTAAATTCAAAATACAATATTTCAGTAAACGTCACATGCAAAGGAAAAATATATAATGAATCAATATTTCATTAAATCAGTTTTATTCGAAGGTGAAAGCAATTATAAAGTATGAATCAGAAACTAGGATATCAACGAAGCACATGTTTTCGACAGTTTAAATTGCTTTTATGCGAAAACATATTCTTTGTTGACATTTGCAAAAAGAATTTTAAGTTTGATCTTTCTGACAACCGGTTTTTTTTACAATTTTATGTAACATGTAATTGCAACTTTAATTTTTTATCTTATCTTTTCCGAAAATAGAATTCCGGGATATATTTTGATATATGAATCAGTTTAAATGCCTTAATGAAACCAGAAAAATAATATTTAATAAAATACAGTACTTGTTTTCGAAGATTTGAGGACAGTCTCGATTTTTGATGATTTTATAAGCAATATATAGATGTAACTATGTATTATGAGTTAGAATGATTTACGCATGACCAACAAAATGTTTGTAAAATTATCCTACTGTAAGGACATTTCCGGTAAAAAAATCCTAATTCCTGTTTAAAAAAAATTTAAAAAAATAAATATATGATATTTAAACCATTTACATGATTACGGTTTCCATTGATAGATTAATGGTGTATCGGAAATTCATGATATCAAAAATAGTATTTTCATTACCACATATTTAGTAAAAATTACTAAGTTGAACAATAAATTTAACCGAATAAATGATTTTCATGCCATGTTTTAAGGTCTCACGATTAAAATTACCAAATTTCATCACTTATAATAAAATCATATTTTCTTGTTAACTTTACAAAAATGATTACAAGCGGTTTGGTAAGAACTACCGAACCTTTTAGTGTTTCCATGGAGCAAAAAACAAGATACATTTCGTCATATTCTGGTAGTTTTGGTCATGCTTGTTTTCTCAGTACACATTATCATATGCATGAAGTACCATATCGTTTACATATTGCTGTAAATATCTATTATATGCACCCGCATAAATACGAATATAACTGGTGTAAAAAGTTTATCAAACATTATTAATTCACTACAATACTATTGAGATAATGAAATTTGAATTAAATTATTGATAAGTTCTTGTTCATTTAATTGATAAATAAGACTTTTTGTTCATGAAATGTTAATATTTATTAAAGTAAAAATATTTGCATGCTTAAAAGTAAATTATTTGAATAATGAATTTCGAAAGTATGCTAGTACAGGATTTTATCATATTAGGTCATATATAACTAGATATACATTTATATAAGAGATAGATAGAACACTGTTTTTGCCAACTGAAATATTTGTTTATAGTATTTAATTGACACAATATTGTCAGGGTTACAATATTGTATTATACGTCAGGGGCATAAAAAACATGAAATATAAATAATTTTAAATTTTATATATCTGTATCTTTTAATAAATTAGATAAGATGCTCATATTTAAGAAAAAATCTCAAGTAAAACAGGAATGATACAGTTTGTAAATCAATAAATTATATTTGTATTTATTTTTCTTATAAAAAATGAATATCGTGTGCTCCATCAAAAGAGCATACAACGGTAAAGAAGAAAAGATGTAAAAAAATTTTAATAAGAAAGTTAAGCGTTAAGCATATTTCACTAGTATTTTTCAACGCACACATTTTAGCAACTGATTTATGACATAAAAAAATATGTGCCTGTGCAGGAATGCATACAAAAATATGTTTAATACTAACCCTTAATTACCATTTTCTCTTTTAAGAGAATTTAAGGCGAAGATAATTTATTGAGTTACAAATTTTCAAACTTTCAAATTTTACTAGGGAATTAGCTTTCCAATACGATCCAATTAACTTAATTTACTAAAATTTACAAATACGTAGAATTTAAAATCATTCATATTTGATATTTTTAGGTCGCTGACGTTCGTCATTGTATTAATTAATTGCTTACCAGCTAATGTTCCAAAAATGGAACATGAACTTGGGATTTGAATTTAATTAGCAATTAAATTCGGAATATTGTTAATTTACCCATAATTAAAATTTGCATTATGAAGAATTTTTTGTGTTTAGTTTGATTCCGTTTCAATACTTACTTCAATAATTACTTGTTTTTGATGAATTTTAGAAATTTGATATATTTTGAAAGGTTTTCTCTCTCTTATAATAAAATTTGCCAAAAATCCAATTTTTCTAATATTACTGCAATACGTATAAACTTTTAAAGGGATAAGATTAAAACCAAGTGTTTCATTTGTGAAACGAAGATATTTCAAGAATTCTATTCTTAAATTTCAAGGGATTCTAGGAGTTCTTAGTCTATTTCCATCAATTTACATAATAACATTTATTCAAAATTCTAAGATATTTAATGTTGTTCGAAGAATGTGTTTAAGTTTAACATCGTCAGGTCATAAATTTGCAGACGGACGATAAGAGAGTGGTAATGGCAGATGATATTGCAATACATAACGGTCGTAATGTAATTAAAGATATGCGCTTGTTCTTTCTCGGTGTTATTTCTCTTCTAATAATGAAAAGGAATACTTTTCTGATAAAGTTATGGCTTTCTAGGAGAAGTCTATCTTTTTTTTGTTATTTGGCAGGGAAAGAGTTGAACTTTAACATCAAAGGTTTTTTTTCCCACCGTGTTCTTAAAAATAGTATAGAATAGATTCTTACTGTTGAAAATAGTTCATTTCTGATTCTTGTGGTTTTCATTATTTCTGAGATAATTCTGTTTTTACTAAATGAGTTATATATCTTCATAAATTAAGTACATATCTCCGGTTAAGAAAAAGTGTAAAGTGTACAATTTTTTAACTTGCCTCATTTGCAAATTTGGTAAGTATATATATATAT